TCCAGTCCCCTGCACTCATGGCAGGACTAAGTATTATCTATTCTAGAACGTGTGATCAGCAGATCTGACATGCGGTTTTTTAAGCATGAGTTCTGTGTGCACCAGCCCCTTACAGTTTGCATTTGTTTGTTTTAAGCTTTCTGTAAGAAAAAGATAACAGCTAGAAGGGATGCAGATCTTTAGATGGTTTCCCAGTCATAATATTTAGTACTTCTGTACTATATTAGCTCTTCAGAATCAGGGTACAAACATTTAACAAACTTAATCTAAAGCCTGCCAGCTTTTGAATGACTAGGAGCTGACAAAACAGAGCTATTCCCAGTTGCGTTATCTGCCCCCCTGAACAAAAAGACTTCCTGTTTCGTATGCATGTGTAAATGAAGCAGACCTTTTTTTTTTTTTTTTTTTTTTTTTTCCTTAAAGTGCTCAGAGATTAAGGGAGGAAAGTGAATGAGATTCTTCTTAGACCAGGTGTGAAAAAGTAGAAGGGACCAAAATCTATTCTTGTGCAAAAATCTGTTCTCTCTGCAGTCAATAAGGCTACACAGGTGTAGCCGTCAGCAGGAATTGGCCTGTGATCTCGTTCCCTTCTTGAATCACACACATTCCATTCTTGTTCAACATTTTCCACTTGGTGAAGAAGTTAGTTTGAGTTGGGGGCAAAAAAATGAGGACTAACTTCAGGTTTATTTAGCTTTCGTTTTTGGAATGAAACTCAAAAGAAATCAAATGTGAGGTACTTTTATGATGGATTGAATGGTTAGAGAACCAGCAGCACCTGCCTTTAGTCTATTCAGCCAGTCTTTCTATCCTAGCCTTCTAAGAAGTGGATTTAAAATCCTTGAGGGAGAAACCTACGACATTGTGTGTAGAGCTTCCTCCAGTGCAACCCCTTAAAAGTACAAAGATGCGTTGGCCTGTGGAACTAGGCTGAGCATAAGGAAAGAACCTGTGGCCTGCACATTCCAGTACAAAAAATTACACCAAATCAAAAAATTGGATTTCTTTGATTTTTTTTAGTACAGTTCAATACAGTATTGAACACAGTGCATCGAAAATCTGAAGCGCCTCGATGGAAGGTTCTCTAAAAGTTAAAGGACTGGCATCCAGAATGGGTTGTTTTGTTTTGTTTTTCCTACAAATGTGTGGGAATTCGTTCCTTATACATGGAAGGGGCAATTGTTCTGGCTGGAGCTGAACAGAGTGTGTGCAGGTTCTGTGCAAGTTTCCCACCCTACCGCTGTGGTACTGCCTCTTCCCCCATGACCCCCTTGCCCTGCCCCTCCACAGGCACTCACCAGTTGTCCAGAAATGGGACCCAGCAAACATAGAAGATCACAGTGACGGGCTCTAGGACCCAGGAGGCAGCGCCCTGCCAGCATCAGCCCAGGAGAGGGACAGAGGGAGCTTCTTCCCTCCCTGACAGCTAAGCAGAGCTCTGGAGAAATCAGGGGTGGGAGGAGTAGAAAGGGGACAGTGCCTGCTCAAACTACACCCATGGCTGGCGTAGGTTTCCATGGTAACCGGATTTTTAGTGTCCGGTCACCAGTGTTAACCGGATCCCTGGCAGTGCAGTCCTGCAGCACGGGGAGATGCAGCAGGCTGCCGGCTGAGCTCCTTCCAAGCCACAGGGGAGCTGCTTTGCCTTTCCTGCTGACAGGAGCGCTCCAGCAGGGCTGTGTGAGCAAGCTCACTCGCCCTCACGCAGCTCTGGCCGTGCCCCCTGCCTAACCAGTAGGGCCTAAAAAATAGGAGGGCCTAAGCTATGGCCTTATTAGCCTATGGGTTAATCCGGTCCTGAGCAGAGTTGGGGGCTGAACCAAAAATCCCACATCTCAAAATCCCCAAATTTTTCAATTCGTACCTCTCCAGTAAAAGTCTCATTGTTATTGCTAATGGACGAAAATGTTACGTGATTCCATATTTAATAACTTGCATGCTACGCTGTCCAGGGCTTCCTTATATAGGGAAAGCAAGCAGAGCTTGTAGGCGGGAGGTGGGGGGCAAGAAATGGGAGATAAAACAGGAAGAGGAAGTAAAACCACAAAATACTAATATAATCTCTTATTTAATTTTAAAAATGGTTTTAAATCAACAAGTATTACATATCAGGACATTCAAAGCACTCTGTTAGGTGTACTAAAACAGCAGTCTAATCTGATTCCAGAGGGATCTATTCAGCAGCCCCCTCCTCAGCTCAGTCACCGGACTTTAAAACATAAGTGCCATGTAGAAAGTTTGTTGCAACAATGTATAATTGCTTCAACTAGTCCAGACCCTTTTAGCAGATAAAAGAACAGCGGCCTACCATGCCTCCAGTTTATTTATATGGCTGTACCTCAGAACTGATTAATACCTGAGATGCTGCATTAAAAACTGTGACAATTTACTTTGACCAAGAAATAAGCCAAGTTGCAAATATTTGAGTCACTCTAACATTGACACTATGTAAATCCCTTACTCTCAAGCAGTAGGATAAATGTATTACATGTATACATTTGTCAAAGTATTAAAATTAATATTTGCCGAAAGAAATGTAATGCAGGTGAGCATTTGGTTAAAGATTTAATGAATTAAGAACAAAACCCTGGCACCGCCTCCCAAGCATTGTGCAGGTGAAGACACACGTTTCCTTTCATCTCACTCATGTGAATCAGGAGGCGTGTTCCTTTAGGGCCAGCTACTGTCACCATTACTCACATTGAATAGTGTCTTACTCCACAGGTGGTTGCATTGATTTCAGTGGGATTATTTGCAGAGTGTGATACTACTCCAGAGGAGTAAACTTCAGATGAGGTGTATCCGTTGGGTAACAGAGCATTTTTTCACTAGCTTCAAATCCCCTTTTAATACATTGGAAAGGTTGATCCTATGTGACTTTTTCTGCAATGTATTGTGATGGTGCTCGAAAAGAGAGAGACTGCTTGTGGTAATAGCTCTTGTGTTCCCAGATGGGCGAAACCTGTGGTTTACCAACCACAGTTACAGTGCCTGAAATAGTCAAGCGGTGGAACAACAATAGATTTCCCCATCAGTCACTCATATAGGGCACTTTTAATTTTTGTTAGTTGGCCACCCACAGACTTAAATCCAAATAATTACCAAAAAAGAATCATAAAGGACACACTTTCTAGTTAGATTTGATCAAGTCATGTCAGTTAAAGTCAACTCTGTTGAAGCCAGGCCCTCAGCTGGTGGGAATACGTTATCTCCATTGATTTGGTTGGTGCTACACCAATTTACACCAGCTCAGGCTCTGTCGTATAGAGAAAAAAGGTAAAAATTACAAAGCTAATCTTTTTTTCTCTTCAAACATATTTAGTATAAATGCAGTTTAAAAATACTGCATACGACACTATAAAACAATTCCTGCTCCCAAGGGCAACAGATCAGCAGAGCCCTGCGTGGATGCAAAGTTTGTATCCGTATCTGATCCGCAATGCACAAGCACGGTCGATGGATATGCAGATGCAGACATCCACGGATATAAAATGAACATATAAAATGATCCCTGGCAGTGCGGTCCTGCAGCGTGGGGAGATGCAGCAGGCTGAGCTCCTTCCAAGCCACAGGGGGCTGCTTTAACTTTCCTCCTGGCAGGAGTGCTCCAGCAGGGCCGCGTGAGCAAGCTAACTTCCCCTCACCCAGCCCCAGCCGTGCCCCTGACCAGTAGGGCCTAAAAAGTAGGAGGGCCTAAACTGTGGCTTTGTTAGCCTAATGGTTAATCCAGCCCTGATCATGCAGGGTTCTACAGATCAGGAGTGGCTTCTCAAGGGGGAGTGGCAGAAGTTGGAGAAGTTTTCAACCGGGGGTATGCAGAGGTCTTTGAGGGGGTACATCAACTCATCTGGATATTTGCCTAGTTTTACAACAGGCTACATAAAAAGCGCTAATGAAGTCAATACAAACTAAAAGGTCATACGGACAATGGCTTGTTTATTCTGCTCTGTATGCTATACTGAAATGCAAGTACAATATTTATATTCCAGTTGATTTATTTTATAATTATATGGTAAAATGAGAAAATAAGCAATGTGTCCATAATAGTGTGCTGTGACATGTTTGGATTTTTATGTCTGGGTTTGATAGGTCGTTTTTAAGTGAGGGGAAACTTGGGGTACACAAGACAAATCGGACTCCTGAAAGGGAGCAGTAGTCTGGAAAGGTTGAGAGCCACTGCTATAAAGAGCAGCCGTCCCCACAGCCCCAACACGAATTCATCCCTTTCAGAACTGTGGAGACCAAACCCCCTGGAGCACCCAGAGAAGAAGGTTACGGGTGTGCATGGCACTGAGCCAACAGAGTCCCCCATGTGCCTCAGACCAGGCCCCGTGATGACAAGAATCGCGCCAAGAGAGAGAACACATCTTTTTCTTTCTTAAGCATATTGTTTAATGGAAAAAATGGAATTTCAAAGTGTACAGGAATAAGAAAATTGGAACATGAGCCTCAACATTTTCCCATTCATTGAACCAAATAAAATAACTACCAACAACACACAACAGCAGGAACATGAAATATTCTATTTTCATAAGGAATTAGCATATGAGAAAAAAATCCAGATGAATCAAAATAACAAATAAATAGATTACTCAAAGATTAACTTGTTAAATATATATATATATATATATATAACATTGATGTGCTATAGCACAATAAATAATGCCTCCCAAATTACAGCACTTTGGCGGCTTAATTTCTGAAAGCCACAAAGTCCCAATCAGTAGCTAGCCTCAGGCTGGCTAGGACTCACTGTGCTGTTGATACAACATACTCGTGCAGGGGAGGGGTAACTGTTACCCGTTTACTGCTCTACTAGTAAAAGAGCAAGGCTTAGACTAAATACAGCTGTGCTGCGAGTGCATTGCACTCATACAACCCTGTTCAGCTTAAGGGCTTTCCAAAGGGTCTTCATTTCCCTCAGCAAATCCCTTTTCTCTACCCAGGGTTTTCAACTTCAGAAAGTGGCATATCCCATAGACAACTGAGCCTTTTAAAAAAAAAAAAAGTCTCAACATGATGCTCCTCAATAAATAAATACATAAATAAATAGACTGCTAGCTGGAATCTGCCTGAAAACACGTTAACAGAAGGAGGTGGGCTGCTTGCAGACTGATTGGCACTTTCACAGAGAGGTTTCCTTCAAGGGGAAACTGGAGAACATCGGGGATTTTTCTTCTTTGGCTTCTCTTAGCGTTTTACCTCACCATTTTCTTCAGCTCTGGAAAGAGGGGGAGAAAAGGAATCGTTTAAAAACCTGTTCATGGAACAATTATCATTAGTTAGAACATGAGAACTGTTGGGGCTCTGAGCCTGCTCTCAACCATATCAACTGAAACTTCATTAACTTTGACATAGCTCCTCTTGGTTCACACCAAAGGAAAGTCAGCTGGAGCGGGCGGGGGCTGGGGGTTCAGTAGCACTGAGCACCTGTGAGACCAATAGTCTCCAGAAGGACTTGCAGCTGCCCAGCATATGTGGCCATTATCAATGACTTGCCCAAGCTCATACAGGAAGTCTGCAGCAGAGTAGGGAACAGGAAGAACCTAGTTCCATAATCTAACCACTAGGCCACCTTTAAGGTAGGATATGGTTATATATTGGATTGAGAGAGACAAATTTTGGGAGAGATTACTGTGTCCTGAGGAGAGGTAACTTTTAAGCAGTTTGTGCTAAGGAACCACCTAGTTCTGCCTTTAAAGTAACTTTTCAGGAAATCATTCTGAGAATGAATGACTCACTTGTCCAAAATTGCTTTAATGATGATCTTCACCCATGGAGCAGTGGGTTCCAAACACACTTCTCTGCCGTCCTTAAGAGTAGCGCTGCAAAGAAGGAAAAACAAAGGTCAGGCATCTATCTACTTGGTGGGCTCTCATCAGGGTATCTTTTAAAATACAGGCAAGGCTGGGGTCAGTTGACATAGCTCCACTGACTTCACTAGAGAGCCACACCAATTTACACTAGCTAAGGATCTGGCCCGACATCATTTGTTTGGTTAAAATGTTCCAGCTGTGGGGGGATGGGAAATCTCCCTATATATATATATGCCTTCCTGTTTTTTTAATATTGCCTGGTATCTCTCTCTGTACGTGTGTAGATATAAAAGGTCTTTATCTCCATTGGTATTGCTTTCTATGTGAAGGGCTGAATTCTGCATTCCTCTGGCAGGGAAACCACCTATGTACTCAGTGGGGAATTTACAGTGGGAGTTTTGTCTGTAGAAGGACTGGAGGAATTGGGTTGAAAGGTTGTATTGGGTATTAATAATTTTTCCTGCCCTTCTAATGCTTGTTCTAGACCTCGATAGATTATTCCCCATGAGGATTTGTACTTCCACCCCAGAGATGCTGAACACTATGAAAAGCAAAGTGCATTATCTAATATTCTGTCTTCAGAAAGAATAAAAATCACTTTTAGGGAGTCTCCCTGAGTGGTGTGGGCCTGCTAGTGCTCCTCACCCCCTTGAAAACTCCTGGCCCAGCACAATGCAAAGCAGTCTCCTCCTAGTTTAGCAGCAGGTAGAATTTTGCAAAACTACTTACATGATTTCAACATTCTGGCAGTGAGGTCCGCTCGGGGTCAGCTTCACGTCCCGAATGTTCCTGGGAGGGATGAACTTGGAATGCGTGCCGATGCACTGGCATCGGAGCTCATTCCCCATCCTTGCCAGACTCATTCCTGGAAAATCACAAGAGTTGTGTGGGGTTAGCTGGGTATCTCGCCATCTATATATCCGAAGCAGAGCATTTGGTTTTGCTTTTTGCTTGATCAGGCATGCTTGGTCTCTGTTTCTTCACAAGGGTCTTGGCTAAAAGGTTACCTTTGTCCTCACCTCTAAAACCTCTAATTATGAAAAAGTATGGAGAGCGGTTGATGCTGCTGCAAAATCATGTTTGGATTTTTTTTTCAAGAAAATTCTAAGTTACCAGGTTTTTTGTTGGTTTTTTGTTTTAAACTTGGCCACATTCTTATCTAGTTACAATGATGATGAGTCTAGATTTAAAATCAAGTCACTGAGGATAAGATCTGGCCCCTTGCTTCTCATCAGTTTTGAGGACTATCTCTTATCATGTTCTGTGCTCCTATTGCTTATTCCTCACTCCAGGTTGCATCCTCCTGTGTTTGAGACAACGTGGTGTCACAGACAGGATGATGGACTCATGCAGGGAAGGAGCAAGAGGCGCAGATGAACATTGTAATCAGATGAGCCCGCCTTCGGTCAAATGCCTTTAGAACCAGGGGAAAAGCAGATAGTGAAAATGATGCAGAAGCCAAACTTTCTAGAGCAAGTAGAATATTTCTCAACATTTCCCACCAGGTGTCAGCAGCTCTTCAGAGCAGTGACTGACTTATAGCTCTCTCCAAGGATGATCATTTGAAAAAAGTTTTAACAAGACATCAACTTTTTAAAAATCAGCCTAAAAATGTCTCTCCAGGCATAATATGTGCATAACTAAGCAAAGTCCTTTGAGCACGAGGAACGATTTTGCTTACCTTCTGACACCGCTGCGTAGATTAGGAAAAGAGCCAGGGCAGCAACAACCAATTTACAGCTCATGATGAGAGGCGAGGCGAGTTTTCCTCCTTGATTCTTCGGTCTCTGCTTGCCAGGAAGGAGCAGTGAGCTTCTCTTGTTATCTCGGAAGGTTTCTGATGTCTGAGGTGTGTAACCCAACCCTCTTATATACTGTCTTGGGGTGTGCAAGATAGCTCTGTGTTTGGATTGTGTCAGAGGAAATTCCCGAAGAGTGCAAGCCCCTATTGCAAAATGAGTCACATGGCTGTGGGTAAACCCCCTTCCTAGATGACCGTGAAATTAGTTATCCTTCAAATATAGCTCCTTATTAATGAATTAAATATAAAAGCTGTACAACATCGCTATGTCGTTAGCTCAGTGTAACTGGTGGGTTTCTATTACTTATTATTATTCTTTTTATTATTAATTTGACTACCCCTTTATATTCTTTTGTCTTATTCTGTGGCTGGTTAAGGAGACATTCAACTCGTGACTTTCCCTGAGCATTACTTTGATTGGGTATGCTGGGCGGGGTTCGTAGAAATGAATTATTCTTTAAATCCAGGTTTCAGAGTAGCAGCCGTGTTAGTCTGTATTTGCAAAAAGAAAAGGAGTACTTAAAGACTAGCCAATTTATTTGAGCATAAGCTTTCGTGAACTACAGCTCTGTAGCTCATGAAAGCTTATTCTCAAATAAATTGGTTAGTCTTTAAGGTGCCACAAGTACTCCTTTTCTTTAAATCCAGTGGTCTATCTCACAAGCAGCTCTCTCTATATATATATATTTTCGCTTTCTGAAAGTGGAGTTAGCTCCTACTTTTCTATTTACGTTGATTTTAAATACCTGAAGTTGTGGCCCCACTAAAATCAAGGTCAAACTCCACACCGACTTCAATGGGGTCGGGAGTTTTCACCCTCTGTTTGTAGGATATAGTCTTATTCTCCTACAACCGGCATATTTTCCTCTCCACCCTAACCAGGAGTTTTCCTCTAACACAATAGTTGCTATGTAGTGTCCTCAATGTCTGTTGGATCTCCTCATGCATAATAAGGTATGTCCAGTGCTTGGTCAAAAGCAAAATCCTATTACTCTTCTTTTTGCAAACTTTGTCTAAAAGTTACTGGTATGGTGGATGGTTATCAGGTGGTCAGACTTGTTCCCGGCCACCGTGGGGCCAAGTTCTGAGGAGTGTAAAGAGCAATAGAGAGAATGAGACAGTAGTGGGCAAGTGGAAAGCATCTGTCCCTGGATGACTCTGCATGGCCTGCGGCAAGGTGTTCTATAGGAACACACCACCCTGGCTTCCCTCCATTTCTATCGTCTCACTGCTAATGCTCTGAAGGGAGCACGCTCAGGCCTCCAAGCTTAGGCCTAGGCTGCCCTAGAAAAGATTTGCCAACAGAGCTGAACTGGCAGAGCTCCTCTGCCAAACGGTCCTGGTGTAGAAGCACCTTTTACCAACAAAAGAGGGCTGCTGTCAGTGTAGCTTATACCGGTTCCCTGAACAAAATCAGCTATCCTGACATGAGGACTCTTTTGCCAGGATAACTGAATCTACACTAGGGCTTTTGCCAGTTTAGAAATGTTGTACAAAATTCATTCCCCTAAGTGGCTTTAGTTTCTAGTGTAGACCTGGCCTTAATCTTACATTCATTCCCAAAGCCACACGAGCTCACAAGCTCAACTCTTGTGGCATATTCCCAGGAGCACAAGTAATCCCACCCCTAGGATAACTGAGGTAAGTAGGTACAACAAACACTTCTAACTGATAGGGATCTGTACACTGAACAGCTGCCTTTTGGATTATACCTTTTGCTGGTTTATTTTATGCTCATATTTGTCAGCTGTTAGTCAGAATGCATTTAGATTGCAATACATACCAGTTCTCCGTTTGTTATATCCCTTTGTAAGTGTTTACTTAAGGAATTACCATACTTCTGTGTGTCTTTCTTATTCCTGCCAGTGAACAACTAGGAGTCGCAGCCGTCCCTTTACTGGTGTTCATTTAGAGAAGAATGGTAGATCAGTTCTTATTTTATCTCAATTGTATATTCCATCCCTAACAAGGGCCCAGAAATGTGAACTATTTTTGCATGTAGTCTATTGGGGGCTGAAGTCTACAAAGCATAACTTAAAATACAGGTATTTTCCCCTCTCGGAATGTGGCTGGTGAACATATTCATGATCTGAACCCATAGTGCTTAATTAAATGAAGAAGGTGCATGATGGAAAGAATAGCGGGACTAAGGGCAAGCGCATCCCAGTGAATCTGATTCCTACACCAGTTTGTGGCCTTCATCTTCTCCTGTGCCGGGGCAGCTGTGTGCCACTCCAGTGGTGTGCACCTGCCCTAAAAGACTGACTTCCCAGCTCGATCATTCCATCACTGGGGAGTTGTTAAATGGCCCATGTAAAGCCTCCTAGCAGCTCTAGGGAGGGTTTCTGCTACTGCCTGTGAATTTTAGGCCGCTTTTAGGGGCGACACCAGCTGAGTTCAGAGCTGTTTCCAGATTGGGGCTGAAGAGCTGAACTAATCCAATTTCCAATATCAGAGTCAGGGCCGGATTAAGGTTATGAGGGGCCTAAGGCTAATGGGAGGGTAGGGCCTAAGTATCAATGACATATTGCAAAAAAATCATGAAGTCATCAAACATTTCTCTACGTACATATTTACATATGACTTATTTATGTAAAATTAACAAGTTATTCTACTCTCACGACACTCAGTTCTTCAGACAGATACTTCTGAGTAAGAGGTAGCCCAAGGAATGGTACGCTGTCCTTCTCTTGGGCCTCCTTCCTCCTAGATAGCGGAGTGCTTGTCTGTGTGAGGATGAACACTGCAACATTCCCCATCCTACATTGTAGGGAGAGTTGTCACTTTGGATGGGCTATTACCAGCAGGAGAGTGAGTTTGTGTGTCGGGGGGGTGGAGGGTGAGAGAACCTGGATTTGTGCTGGAAATGGCCCAACTTGATGATCACTTTAGATAAGCTATTACCAGCAGGACAGTGGGGTGGGAGGAGGTATTGTTTTATGATCTCTGTGTGTATATAATGTCTGCTGCAGTTTCCACGGTATGCATCCGATGAAGTGAGCTGTAGCTCACGAAAGCTCATGCTCAAATAAATTGGTTAGTCTTTAAGGTGCCACAAGTACTCCTTTTCTTTTTGCGAATACAGACTAACACGGCTGTTACTCTGAAACCTGTCATTCCCCATCCTGTTCACCTCCTTCCACCCTGTGCTTCTACCCTCAGCTCTCCACATGGCACAGTGCAAAGCCAAGCCCTGCAGATGTTTCCCACAAACTATGGACTCTATACCACACACCCTATCTCACTCTGACTGCAGTCTGGGAGGCAGCCAGCTCTTATTATGGAAAAGAAAACACTCGGGTGTAAAATCCACTGGAGTAGAGGAAGTAGTAGTGGGGAAATTACATGGGGTGGCATTGTATTGTAGGCTGTCTTGCTCTGAAAGCTGCCTCCCAGTGTTGCACTGGCTGAGGACAATGAATTACTGTTTTCACATTGAACACAAATATTATTTGTGGGATGATACCCAGTTTGTGTAGTTAATATCCAGTGATTCACCACATCAGGCCATTCTGTCACCAAGCTCTTCCACAATTAAAATCAGAGAATAGAATCATAGGACTGGAAGGGACCTCGAGAGGTCATCTAGTCCAGTCCCCTGCACTCATGGCAGGACTAAGTATTATCTATTCTAGAACGTGTGATCAGCAGATCTGACATGCGGTTTTTTAAGCATGAGTTCTGTGTGCACCAGCCCCTTACGGTTTGCATTTGTTTGTTTTTAAGCTTTCTGTAAGAAAAAGATAACAGCTAGAAGGGACGCAGATCTTTAGATGGTTTCCCAGTCATAATATTTAGCACTTCTGTACTATATTAGCTCTTCAAAATCAGGGTACAAACATTTAACAAACTTAATCTAAAGCCTGTCAGCTTTTGAATGACTAGGAGCTGACAAAACAGAGCTATTCCCTGTTGCATTCTCTGCCTCCCTGAACAAAAAGACTACATTGAAAATCAGCATCTTAAAAGAACCATTAAGGATCTTTCAAAAGAAAAGTCTAACCAAGGCTGATGTAGTGACACCCTTGTTACATCAGGTCTGGGATTTCTTTAAAAGGCTGGTGTAGAATGAAGGGAGAGCTTCCTGTTTCGTTTGCATGTGTAAATCAAGCAGACCTTGCTTTTCCCCCCCCACCCCACCTTAAAGTGCTCAGAGATTAGGGGAGGAAAGTGAATGAGATTCTTCTTAGACCAGGTGTGAAAAAGCAGAAGGGACCAAAATCTATTCTTGTGCAAAAATCTGTTCTCTCTGCAGTCAATAAGGCTACACAGGTGTAGCCACCAGCAGGAATTGGCCTGTGATCTCATTCCCTTCTTGAATCACACACATTCCATTCTTGCTCAACATTTTCCACTTGGTGAAGAAGTTAGTATGAGTTGGGGGCAAAAAAATGAGGACTAACTTCAGGTTTATTTAGCTTTACGTCTTTGGAATGAAACTCAAAAGAAATCAAACGTGAGGTACTTTTATGATGGATTGAATGGCTAGAGAACCAGCAGCACCAGCCTTTAGGCTGTTCAGTCAGTCTTTCTATCCTAGCCTGCGAAGAAGGGGATTTAAAATCCTTGAGGGAGAAACCTACAACATTGTGTGTAGAGCTTCCTCCAGTGCAACCCCTTAAAAGTACAAAGATGCGTTGGCCTGTGGAACTAGGCTGAGCATAAGGAAAGAACCTGGTGGCCTGTACATCCCAGTACCAAAAAAATACACCAAATCAAAAAATTGGATTTCTTTGATTTTTTTTTTAGTACAGTTCAATACAGTATTGAACATAGTGCATCATAAATATAAATCCCTTGCTATCAAGCAGTAGGAAAAATGTATTACACGTATACATTTGTCAAAGTCCTAAAATTAATATTTGCCGAAAGAAATGTAATGCAGGTGAGCATTTGTTTAAAGATTTAATGAATTAAGAACAAAACCCTGGCACCGCCTCCCAAGCATTGTGCAGGTGAAGACACACGTTTCCTTTCATCTCACTCATGTGAATCAGGAGGTGTGTTCCTTTAGGGCCAGCTACTGTCACCATTACTCACATTGAATAGTATCTTACTCCACAGGTGGTTGCATTGATTTCAGTGGGATTATTTGCAGAGTGTGATACTACTCCAGAGGAGTAAACTTCAGATGAGGTGTATCCGTTGGGTAACAGAGCATTTTTTCACTAGCTTCAAATCCCTTTTTAATACATCGGAAAGGTTGATCCTATGTGACTTTTTCTGCAATGTATTGTGATGGTGCTCGAAAAGAGAGAGACTGCTTGTGGTAATAGCTCTTGTGTTCCCAGATGGGCGAAACCTGTGGTTTACCAACCATAGTTACAGTGCCTGAAATAGTCAAGCGGTGGAACAACGATAGATTTCCCCATCAGTCACTCATATAGGGCACTTTTAATTTTTGTTAGTTGGCCACCCACAGACTTAAATCCAAATAATTACCAAAAAAGAATCATAAAGGACACACTTTCTAGTTAGATTTGATGAAGTCATGTCAGTTAAGGTCAACTCTGTTGAAGCCAGGCCCTCAGCTGGTGGGAATCCGTTATCTCCATTGATTTGATTGGTGCTACACCAATTTACACCAGCTCAGGCTCTGTTGTATAGAGAAAACAGGTAAAAATTACAAAGCTAATCTTTTTTTCTCTTCAAACGTATTTAGTATAAATGCAGTTTAAAAATACTGCATACGACACTATAAAACAGTTCCTGCTCCCAAGGGCAACAGATCAGCAGAGCCCTGCGTGGATACAAAGTTTGTATCCGTATCTGATCCGCAATGCACAAGCACGGTCCATGGATATGCAGATGCAGACATCCACGGATATAAAATGAACATATAAAATGATCCCTGGCAGTGCGGTCCTGCAGCGTGGGGAGATGCAGCAGGCTGCCGGCTGAGCTCCTTCCAAGCCACAGGGGGCTGCTTTAACTTTCCTGCTGGCAGGAGTGCTCCAGCAGGGCCGCGTGAGCAAGCTAACTTCCCCTCACCCAGCCCCAGCCGTGCCCGACCAGTAGGGCCTAAAAAGTAGGAGGGCCTAAACTGTGGCTTTGTTAGCCTAATGGTTAATCCAGCCCTGATCATGCAGGGTTCTACAGATCAGGAGTGGCTTCTCAAGGGGGAGTGGCAGAAGTTGGAGAAGTTTTCAACCGGGGGTATGCAGAGGTCTTTGAGGGGGTACATCAACTCATCTGGATATTTGCCTAGTTTTACAACAGGCTACATAAAAAGCGCTAATGAAGTCAATACAAACTAAAAGGTCATACGGACAATGGCTTGTTTATTCTGCTCTGTATGCTATACTGAAATGCAAGTACAATATTTATATTCCAGTTGATTTATTTTATAATTATATGGTAAAATGAGAAAATAAGCAATGTGTCCGTAATAGTGTGCTGTGACATGTTTGGATTTTTAAGTCTGGTTTTGATAGCAGGTCGTTTTTAAGTGAGGGGAAACTTGGGGTACACAAGACAAATCGGACTCCTGAAAGGGAGCAGTAGTCTGGAAAGGTTGAGAGCCACTGCTATAAAGAGCAGCCGTCCCCACAGCCCCAACACGAATTCATCCCTTTCAGAACCAGGGAGACCAAACCCCCTGGAGCACCCAGAGAAGAAGGTTACGGGTGTGCATGGCACTGAGCCAACAGAGTCCCCCATGTGCCTCAGACCAGGCCCCGTGATGACAAGAATCGCGCCAAGAGAGAGAACACATCTTTTTCTTTCTTAAGCATATTGTTTAATGGAAAAAATGGAATTACAAAGTGTACAGGAATAAGAAAATTGGAACATGAGCCTCAACATTTTCCCATTCATTGAACCAAATAAAATAACTACCAACAACACACAACAGCAGGAACATGAAATATTCTATTTTCATAAGGAATTAGCATATGAGAAAAAAATCCAGATGAATCAAAATAACAAATAAATAGATTACTCAAAGATTAACTTGTTAAATAGATATATATATATATAACATTGATGTGCTATAGCACAATAAATAATGCCTCCCAAATTACAGCACTTTGGCGGCTTAATTTCTGAAAGCCACAAAGTCCCAATCAGTAGCTAGCCTCAGGCTGGCTAGGACTCACTGTGCTGTTGATACAACATACTCGTGCAGGGGAGGGGTAACTGTTACCCGTTTACTGCTCTACTAGTAAAAGAGCAAGGCTTAGACTAAATACAGCTGTGCTGCGAGTGCATTGCACTCATACAACCCTGTTCAGCTTAAGGGCTTTCCAAAGGGTCTTCATTTCCCTCAGCAAATCCCTTTTCTCTACCCAGGGTTTTCAACTTCAGAAAGTGGCATATCCCATAGACAACTGAGCCTTTTAAAAAAAAAAAAAAGTCTCAACATGATGCTCCTCAATAAATAAATACATAAATAAATAGACTGCTAGCTGGAATCTGCCTGAAAACATGTTAACAGAAGGAGGTGGGCTGCTTGCAGACTGATTGGCACTTTCACAGAGAGGTTTCCTTCAAGGGGAAACTGGAGAACATCGGGGGATTTTTCTTCTTTGGCTTCTCTTAGCGTTTTACCTCACCATTTTCTTCAGCTCTGGAAAGAGGGGGAGAAAAGGAATCGTTTAAAAACCTGTTCATGGAACAATTATCATTAGTTAGAACATGAGAACTGTTGGGGCTCTGAGCCTGCTCTCAACCATATCAACTGAAACTTCATTAACTTTGACATAGCTCCTCTTGGTTCACACCAAAGGAAAGTCAGCTGGAGCGGGCGGGGGCTGGGGGTTCAGTAGCACTGAGCACCTGTGAGACCAATAGTCTCCAGAAGGACTTGCAGCTGCCCAGCATATGTGGCCATTATCAATGACTTGCCCAAGCTCATACAGGAAGTCTGCAGCAGAGTAGGGAACAGGAAGAACCTAGTTCCATAATCTAACCACTAGGCCACCTTTAAGGTAGGATATGGTTATATATTGGATTGAGAGAGACAAATTTTGGGAGAGATTACTGTGTCCTGAGGAGAGGTAACTTTTAAGCAGTTTGTGCTAAGGAACCACCTAGTTCTGCCTTTAAAGTAATTTTTCAGGAAATCATTCTGAGAATGAATGACTCACTTGTCCAAAATTGCTTTAATGATGATCTTCACCCATAGAGCAGTGGGTTCTAAACACACTTCTCTGCCGTCCTTAAGAGTAGCGCTGCAAAGAAGGAAAAACAAAGGTCAGGCATCTATCTACTTGGTGGGCTCTCATCAGGGTATCTTTCAACCTTTTAAAATACAGGCAAGGCTGGGGTCAGTTGACATAGCTCCACTGACTTCACTAGAGAGCCACACCAATTTACACTAGCTAAGGATCTGGCCCGACATCATTTGTTTGGTTAAAAATGTTCCAGGTGTGTGTGTGTGTGTGGGGGGGGGGGGGGCAGGAAATCTCCCTATATATATATATGCCTTCCTGTTTTTTTAATATTGCCTGGTATCTCTCTCTGTACGTGTGCAGATATAAAAGGTCTTTATCTCCATTGGTATTGCTTTCTATGTGAAGGGCTGAATTCTGCATTCCTCTGGCAGGGAAACCACTTATGTACTCAGTGGGGAATTTACAGTGGGAGTTTTGTCTGTAGAAGGACTGGAGGAATTGGGTTGAAAGGTTGTACTGGGTATTAATAATTTTTCCTGCCCTTCTAATGCTTGTTCTAGAACTCGATAGATTATTCCCCATGAGGATTTGTACTTCCACCCCAGAGATGCTGGACACTATGAAAAGCAAAGTGCATTATCACTTTTAGGGAGTCTCCCTGAGTGGTGTGGGCCTGCTAGTGCTCCTCACCCCCTTGAAAACTCCTGGCCCAGCACAATGCAAAGCAGTCTCCTCCTAGTTTAGCAGCAGGTAGAATTTTGCAAAACTACTTACATGATTTCAACGTTCTGGCAGTGAGGTCCGCTCGGGGTCAGCTTCACGTCCCGAATGTTCCTGGGAGGGATGAACTTGGAATGCGTGCCGATGCACTGGCATCGGAGCTCATTCCCCATCCTTGCCAGACTCATCCCTGGAAAAGAACAAGAGTTGTGTTGGGTTAGCTGGGTATCTTGCCATCTATATATGTGAAGCAGAGCACCTGGTTTTGCTTGATCAGGCATGCTTGGTCTCTGTTTCTTCACAAGGGTCTCGGCTAAAAGGTTACCTTTGTCCTCACCTCTAAAACCTCTAATTATGAAAAGTTATGGAGAGCGGTTAATGCTGCTGCAAAATAATGTTTGGATTTTTTTTAAAGAAAATTCTCAGTTACCAGGTTTTTTGTTGTTTTAAACTTGGCCACATTTTTATCTAGTTACAATGATGCTGAGTCTAGATTTAAAATCATGTCACTGAGGATAAGATCTAGCCCCTTCCTTTCATCAGTTTTGAGGACAATCTCTGATAATGTTCTATGCTCCTGTTGCTTATTCCCCACTCCAGGTTGCATCCTCCTGTGTTTGAGACAACGTGGTGTCACAGACAGGATGATGGACTCGTGCAGGGAAGGAGCAAGAGGCGCAGATGAACATTGTAATCAGATGAGCCCGCCTTCGGTCAAATGCCTTTAGAACGAGGGGAAAAGCAGATAGTGAAAATGATGCAGAAGCCAAACTTTCTAGAGCAAGTAGAATATTTCTCAACATTTCCCACCAGGTGTCAGCAGCTCTTCAGAGCAGTGACTGACTTATAGCTCTCTCCAAGGATGATCGTTTGAAAAAAAGTTTTAACAAGACATCGACTTTTTAAAAATCAGCCTAAAAGTGTCTCTCCACGCATAATATGTGCATAACTAAGCAAAGTCCTTTGAGCCCGAGGAAGGATTTTGCTTACCTTCTGACACCGCTGCGTAGATTAGGAAAAGAGCCAGGGCAGTAACAACCAATTTACAGCTCATGATGAGAGGCGGGGCGAGCTTTCCTCCTTGATTCGTCGGGCTCTGCTTGCCAGGAAGGAGCAGTGAGCTTCTCTTGTTATCTCGGAAGGTTTCTGATGTCTGAGGTGTGTAACCCAACCCTCTTATATACTGTCTTGGGGTGTGCAAGATAGCTCTGTGTTTGGATTGTGTCAGAGGAAATTCCCAAAGCGTGCAAGCCGCTATCGCAAAATGAGTCACGTGGCCGTGGGGTAAACCCCTTCCTAGGTGACCCTGTAATTACTTATCCTTCAAATCAAGCTCCTTATTACTGATTTAAATATAAACGCTGCACAGCATCGCTGTAACTGGTGGGTTTCTATAACTTCTTTTATGATTTGACTCTCTCTTTATGTTCTCTTGTCTTATCATGTGGCTGGTTAAGGAGACATTCAACTTGCGGCTTTCCCTGAGCATTTCTTTGATTAGCTATGTTGGGCAGGGCTAGCAGAAATGAGCTATGCTGTAAACCCAGTGGCCTGCCTCACACGCAGCTATATATATATATATATATATATATATAATTTCCCTTTCTGAAAGTGGAGTTTTCTACTTGCATTGATTTTTAAACATCTGACATCCTGGCCCCACTGAAATCAAAGTCAAAACTCCACACTGACTTCAATGGGGCCAGGAGTTTTGACCCTCTGTTTGTAGGATATCCTCTTATTCTCCTACAACCATTCTCTGCCCCACCCTAACCAGGAGTTTTCCTTGAACACAATAGTCTCTTGTGAGGATGAAACATCCAAAGTGTTCTGTGAAAGGAGTTACACTGTAATTTCCCAAGCTGCCTGCCAGGATTTAGACCCTCAATTCCAGGCCACTTTGAAAATCTCAACCTTAGCACTGTGTCAGTATGTTGCCACTGGGGCTTGAAGCTGGGGTTCGCAAGCCCACCCCGCTCCCATGCTTGGAGCCAGGCTGCAGCCTGTCACAAAAGTCAAAGCAACCTTAGCCCTACAAAAGTGACCCTTTTTTTCCTCCTTTCTTGTCAACTGTTGAGAATAGCCCAGTTCCACATTAATTGAATTGGCTCGTTAGCGCTGACCCCCCCCCCCCACTTGGTAAGGCAACTCCCATCTTTTCATATGCTGTGTATTTATACCTCCCTACTGTATTTTCCATTCCATGCATCCGATGAAGTGGGTTTTAGCCCACGAAGCTTATGCCCAAATAAATTTGTTAGTCTCTAATATGCCACAAAGACTCCTCTTTGTTACAGCCACTTTTAGTGCGAGAGTGAGCACAAGGCTGTGGTCGGGTTGGGAGCCTCGCTCCAAGATGCAGCACCTCAGTCCCCTGAAGTACTTCTGGAAATGTGACCCCAACAGACTGTACAGAGAAAAGAATGGAACTGACTGTAACAAAGTGTTGGCAGAGTAAACACACACACAACCCCCAGAGGAATAATTCTCTCTCATTTCTTTCAGTTGCAATCATCTTAGGTGTGAACAGATAAGCAACACAGATATCATGGGGCTGCCTGCATTATGCTTATCCCCTTTAAGGAATTCAGTTGCAGGGACGCTTATTGTTTGTGATTTAAAGAAATTAGTATGGCTTTTGTGGGGTGTGTTTGAAAAGGAAAACACACTGGACTGAACACTGATCTGTCGCGTGATCCACCATGGAGGGTTGGCAGAGCATTCTGGGCTACGTGCCATTAGCAGAAATGGATCGATTTCAATGAAGGTAGGAGTACCATCAGGACAACTTGATGCTTCTGCCTTCCCCAGACTGGCCCCACAATGATTTTCTTCTTCCCAGACACGTCGCTTCCAGGTTCTCCAGTGTGTAGCGAAGCCCAGTCTGCAAAGCATGTCAAGTGTAGGGTTTATTATGTTGTTAAACACATGCCACTGTTTCAGCAACATCATTCAACACATGGTGCTAAAATCCCTCTCCGGGTAGTACTTCCTGTTTGCTGCTGCTTCAGATTTCTGCGTGGAAATCAATTAAATCCCGGGAAACGCAGGTCATTCTGTGAATGCAGGAGAGAGGCAGGTATTCCAAGAGGCTGAAGGTTGTTATGCTAGGGTGGTTTTTATATATATATTTGATTAAATTAACACTGGCTTGACCACCTGCCCTGAGCATGCTTTCTGGTGTGAGCTGTATTTCCTGAGATGTGACATGTATATCCTACTGACTTTATTGGGCTAGATCTTCAGTTAGCGAATATCCGCATAATATTGTGTGCCAATATTTTAGTGTACATAAACCTCTTTGTCAGCCAGCTACTTCTGTGTGATACAGGGCAACCAATAGAGTGGATTTCTATCACACCCGCCTCATTTTCCTTTAAGATCTGGGAGTCCCAGCCCCTCCTTTGCTCTAACCCTGGGAGTACCATCCCCTGCCCTCTCTCCCCAGCACCCTCACACCGCTGTGCTGCTGCCCGTGGGCGTGCCTCCAAACTCTGGCGTCACCTGCTTCCCTCACCCCAGCAAAGAGGATTGGCACCAGCAGAGTCTCCGTTCCCTGTTGCTGAAGTCAGGGAGGGCAGCTGTGCCAGCACGGCCAGTGGGGGGAACTGTCAGCACTCGCCCCCACTGCCTGCACCCGCCTGCTCCCACTTTCCCAGGAAAGCCAATTTGCCCAGGGGAAAGGAGCAGTGTGCTGAAAGCCGTCTTTGTTCTTTGGGGCAAGAGGAGGGAGGGGCTACTGAGAAGACTGCAGGAAATGAAGACCCACCCTCCCCCACTCCTATTCCCCCTCCCCACCCTTTTGTCCCATTTGAGGGCGGGGGAGAGGAAGGGTTCTCCCTGCCCCTTGGTCAAAGGCCTCAGGCTTCCTCCTCCTCCCAGCCTCAGCCTTGTCTAAGAAAAAGCAAGAACTGAGGGAAATGTTGGCCAAGAGTCTGGTTCCGCGGCAGGAGATGCAGTGTTTCCAGCTCTTGCCACTCCCTCCCAAGTGTTGGTTTGGGTGGGGCCGGAATTTAACCTTTCGTGTTTTTCTTCAATCTCCAGCTCTTGGAGCCAGGATGATACAATGATCCCATTTTTCATTTCATTTCACAGCAACCCCAACCGTCACCCAGAATCCTTCTAACCTCCTTAGGTAGTGAGTCCCAACAACATAATATCCCTCTCTAGTAATCTGGGTACTTAGTCTGATAGCTGGTAGTTAATTTGTTTATATTTAGTAGTTGTTACTGTTTCAAGTAGCTTGTTAGTTAAGGGCCCTGGGGTGAGATTAGCTTGCAAAGCTTTTCTTCCCATCATAAAAGATTCTTCAATCCAAGTTCTCAGGGACAATTGCACAGACACACATTACATAAACAGACATGGAGATTAGGCCGCCTTTGCCAAGAAGCCAGGCAACTTTTGGGCGTGGTGCATTCAGAATCACATGAATGTCACAGCTCTTCTCCTTGCAGGAGAGAAAAACAGTCTAGCGGACTCAATGAGCAGGAAACTGTACTCATTCCACCAATGGGAATTGAAAAATTCAATACCAAGTTTTCCAAGAACGTGGACTTCCGCAGACAGACTTATTTGTGACAGTTAAAAACAGGAAATGTCTGATATTTTGCGTTCAAGCAGGAAAGTGACCCGGATCTCTAGCAGACACATTCCTGAGTTGGTAACACACACACCATTTACACTGATTCAAAGGATGTTACAGAAAATAAGGCAAGAAAAGGCTCGAGTTATTCAGGTGGGTCCCCCTGGGCCTTACCAGTTTTGATTCTCAGATCTACTTTTACTGTCAAATCACCAATTTATCACACTCCCAGTTTAGGAAGATGGTATCACAGAGTCCTGGTGGCGTGACTCTCCACCCAAACCCAGCTGCTCTGTATCTCCGGGCCTGGATAATAGCTCAATAGATAGTGTTCTTCAGAGGTGCAGAGCTTTCTTCTCCAGAGTAGAAAACTATCCACTGGGACTAGGTGCACTGTCAAATGGAAACATTTTTCCTTATGAGCTAAATCTAAAGGTTACCTCCAGGTCAGTGTTCTATTGCAGTAGCAGTAATTGCCTCTTATCTTTAAAGCACTCAAGACTTCCTGTCTCTTCGGTCTAAGTCCATTTGGCCACAATATCTGCATTTCTTCCTCCAGTAGAGGGAGGTAGATTTTTCTCTTATCAATCAGTGAACAGGTTTACGAAAGGGCTTGCCATGTTTTTCTTCCTGTGAGAAAGATCACTCCAGTATAGGACTTAAATATAGTGCTTTCTTCACATATTTTTTTTCCACACGGATAGAGTAACTACAAGACCACATCCATAATTTAATCCTAAAAGTACTGTCAGATTTTTCATATCAATCAATTAATTCATTTACCAGTTTTCCCCCAAAAAACCTCATTCTTCACCTTCTGACTCTAAATTACATACTTTCAAAGTGAGGTCATTGTTTTTATTAGGTAGAACTAATCTTTTCCTAAAACATCCAGACTTTTCATTGTTCATGGTAATGTTTTTTTCATCACTAAGACTTTCAAAATGGGTAGGGGGATTGGATTGGAACTGCTTATGATATTAATAAGAATAATCCTCTGTCAAACGTCTGAACTCACTCCACCAGAAATCAAGCTGTGTGGATCGCATGCTTACATTGGCCTTCCAGTGCTGGAAGTATGTGGAGCAGCTGCCAGGTCTTCAGCTCGAAGGTTTCCAAACATTATTGGTCACCTCTTGGAGATCTAGATAATATTCAGTCCTGCCATGAGTGCAGGGGACTGAACTAGATGACCTCTGGAGGTCCCTTCCAGTCCTACAGTTATGATCTGACCCTTTGTTCAGAAGAGCCGTTTTGCAGTATCTTCTCAGATAACTCCTAGCTCCCAGGAACTTAAAGATGACTCCTGACTAATCATGCTGCATGGGTTCCACATGTGCTGTAACTAGAAAAAGAAAGAACTGGCTCTTGGAGATGCTCTGCACATGTGGCTGTCACAACCCACCCTCCATCCAGGCAGCTCAGAGTCTTATCCGAGAGGATTCTGGGTAGTGAAGGAACTGACTAGTGATTGGGGTCGCTGTGCTTTCATGCTGGGGGTGGGGGTGAGGGCATGCAGAGTGCATGTGTGATCACCGCTGGCCACTGCTAGTGAAAATGTTCCAAACTCCTGTGCTGGGGCACATGAACACTA